CATATCTGCATTGGCAGTTGTACACCATTTCGTCTTTCAGCGTTTCGTGGCCTCGGCCGCAGCACATGCTGTCACATCCAGCGTACGAGTTTTCAGACGCATTGCATGCCCTTCAAAACAAATACAACTGAAATCGTGACATGAGCAATAATCTCTAACCTCCCCCTCGTGCCAAACGAACCGACTCTGCGATCTTCAGTACAGTAGTCCGGAGACTTTTTTATGAACACTAGATCGTCACTGGTTATGCGACCCATTAGCGCTACGGGTTCAAATTCAAATCGAGCTGAATTGTCATGAAGAGCTCGGACCTCAGCAGCACGGCTGTATTTATTTTTCAGTCTACAAGAGCTCCTTGCAATAAAATAGACCACGAGTGTTTGGTGTAGCGTTACATGTGTCCAATACGAGTCAATGGTGGCAACACTTTCCAACACGTCTTTAAGTTGCATGATCCAGAAACTCCATGACACTTGCACTTGGTTTCTAAGACTTGCGCTATCAGCTGAAAATATTTAAAACAGTAACTGCGAAACACCCTCATCTTCACAACTTAGTGATCAGTTGACTGGAACGAATACGAACAGTCAGACCTAATTGTGAGGTTATTCAGAGTCTTCAGTGTGCTCTGTATTAAAGATATCAAACCAGTTCATTACTTCATTTCGTAGCCTTTAACATTCGATTAAGGATTAATTAATGAAATTTCTTCCTTTTCATATGAAGAGAATAGTTTCATTAGTTGCTTAAATCTACTACTAGAATTTGAAGATAATCAGTTAAAGTTGCTGCCGACGACATCTCTCTTCTGTATAATCACAAACCTCGGCTTAATCTTCCACTGCAAGCATCGTACTGCCAATGTGACTCCCGAATGACGACAAGGTACGAAACTGCCTACCAAAAGCAATGCAGTGACGTTGGGCTATTCACATGTGTTCCTTGAACACAGACTTTAGAGAGCAAGCGTGTTTTATTCACCCTTAACTGAAAGCAAGGCAACTATCTTAACTAGAAAACGTTTTTGCCGCGTTATTGAATAATCGAGATCGGTTACCGTACCTGATAAACGCTTCAGAAGCACTGGTACCGAAGCTGTCGTGCGATCGATATTCGAATCGACGAGGTCTGACTGTTCGTGCATTTATGCGATGTAAAGCGTACTTCTCGAATACTTACGTTTCTGCCGACCCTGTTGTTGTGGTGATTCATCTTCGCCTTTGGACTCATGGGAAAATTGTAATCATCGATGTCGTCGGTGGCGCCGTTTCGAAGTCGAGTGCTTTGCGGATACATCGTTTTGTAGCCCTTGGCGTAGCGTTTAGAATATTTTCCAATTTTCCTCTTCGACGGTTTAGTCCACTCTTTGCTAACCTTTTGTCCATAATGCACGTTATCGCTGCAGCCTTTCCTCTAGAATCACATTTAAGTGATTGCAAATTAACCGAAGCACTTCCAAACGAATAGATAGCACCTCAATTCACTGCTCTCTAGAACAACCGCGCTAACACAGAGTAACTTGTGAACTTTTCACCGCAGAAGTTGCTTCGACGATTATGGAAGAGGCTAAATATTGTCACCTCGAACTGTCGGTCCCTGAAAGGTGAAGATAGGCAAGCTGCTGTCACCAGAACCTTGAACAATCTTAACGCGCCGATCGCATGCCTCCAAGAAACGCGATTAAAGATCGATGAAATCACAAAAATGTACTATCCTCGCGACCAGGCATGTTGTATATTATTCGAATCGAAGGCCGAAGAAGGTCTGCGTGGTTACGGAGTCGCAGTGGGCTCAGACTTCGAATGAACAGCAGAAGAATGGGGGACCAATTAGTCCAAGATTATGTTGGATGAAGATCTCCAAATCGCTCAGAACAATGTTTATTACAACTGCTCATGCGCCTATGAACGCAATGCAGATGAATCTTCTACGATAAACTTGAACAATTAGTTAGTGTAATACATTCGAACGACCGTAAAATCAATGGAATGGATGCCAACGCAAAAATTGGCAGCAATGAGAGCGTCGCACTGAACAAATGGTTCCCGTCGGCAAAAGCGACCACAGAAAATGGATCGATGCTCCTCCACGTCGCTGAAAGACTCAGCCTGGCAATTGCAATGACCCTGAAGCGAAATCGATACTCGCAAAGACCAACATGCCAAGGCCCACAGCGTTTGACTATTGAGCAGCGGAAAGCGTGGGTGGAGGAAGTTACAACTACCGTCGGATTTAATACTCATAAATGACCATTGAAAACACACCGAAAGACGGTCCCACACCCATCTGCGGATGCACCTATTTGTCCTACCATGTTGTTCCGATGGTTTTAACGATGGTGTCGTATGTTACTGTCAAAAGGATGGAGACGATACCAAGGCCTAATATGGCATCACTACAGGAAAAGTCCAGACACGGAAAAAATTCTCAATCGTGTTAAATCAGATACTGGAAAGACAATTGCCGACTGGCTGCCGCTGGTGAAAGTATTCCAGCACTCCGGAGAGAAAGTGCCTGTCAGTCTGTGGGAGCAAGGGCTGAGAAGCTGACGAAGGAACGGAAAAGAGGCAGACTTGCAGGAAATAAGACATTAGCGAAAGAGAAGGAAATCGAATGAAAATGCCATCCGACTGAAGAAAGGAATGCACTGTGGGTCAAACAAGCTGCCGTTATTGAAAAACCGTTCAGATACAACGACCTTAGACGAACGTTTGCCTTAAACCGGCAATACAGGAGAAGAAATAATATCCACGCCTCGTTCATTAGTTCAAAAGATGGATCGCGCATGCTCATAGGGACTTCAATGTGATGTCCAATTTCTCGAAAATTTCCAGCAACTAGTGAACCGACCTCCGCCAGCTATTTCAATGCTTTTCTTCTAGCGAATGAGGACATCTGATCATGACTGCAGCGTTGATGTACCAGCCAGGGAAGAGTTCACAAATGCTCTCAAGAAGGGGCAAATGGCAAAGCAGCTGGATCAGATGAAGTTCATGTGGAGCTGTTGAAACATATACTTAATACGTGACTAGATGTGTTTCCGAACATCATTCATGAAATTTGATGAACAGAAATAATACAGGAACAGTGGCGCCAAGCAGTGCTTGTTCCGATACATAACAAAGTTGCTCTATCGGATGTTCGAAATTGCAGAGGAATCAATCTCCTCTGTGAGGCTCGACTGTCAGTGAAAGAGTTTTCATCAGCAGAATTCCTACAAAGAGATAACGACCAGAGAAGAACAGTATGGTTTCTGTCCTGGTCGACTGAACATCGACCACGTTCTAGCATTGCGTCTTTAGCTAGAAATCTTCATCCGATATATCAGGACAACGTCTGACTTGGAACAATATCAACTCTCTCTCTGGCGAATATAAAAAACTAAAACTCGCTTTTCGGCCATGCACTGCGACAGAACGACAAGCATCTGATCAACATCTTTATTCGTAGTGTGCCGAACCCATCCTAGAAAAGACCTAGAGGCTGGCCGACAACTGTATGGCTGGTTAGTATCAGAGAAGAACTGTTGGATACGCAGATGGGCTGCGCCCACGGACACAGTGATTGGCCTGCAGTTATATGGATGTATCCCAGCATAGGATACAATGACAAATGAGGACAAGAAGCGTAAGGATGCTGTAGCCCCGTAGCGACATCCAATATGTCAAGTAAGTCATGAGCTTTTCAACACTTTTCTATAAGGCGTAGGTTACTGCATTGTACAGGGAACAGTTTCTCTCTGAAAGCGGATCTGCCCTTACCTTGTTTCTCCAGGCTACGTGCTGGCTTCCAGGTCAACAGTTGGCTTGTTTCTGCTCCCACGAAAAAACTGGCAAGTTGGAGAAAATGGTTTTGCTCAACAATTTTGTTTAATTGCACAACCTCTTTTTCCTAACGTACACATCCGTTGAGGTTACCTGTGCCTGGAACAAAATCGAGCCATTGTTAACGTGGTCTTGCCATTAACCTTCATCATGCGTCGAGGCCAACACCGATCATTCATCTCTTTTTCTTATTCCTTCGTTACAGCAACATTTTCTATGCTGCCCAACAGCATTAACCGGATCCAGGCACGACACATGGCGATTTTAGTAGAAAAAGATATTTCTTTCTAAGTCCGAAAATTTGACAAGTTGTCAAAAGTACTGGAGGAGGCGGCAGTCCTCCTGTTCAGCTCGGGCTCAGTGATGTTTTCGCTGCAGGTGATATGGCCAAGATACTCAAAGTGGTTCATTTCATTTGTTTCACTAGCATATTAGACATGCCTGATGGGGTATTCACAACTTCGGACTTCCGGGCGTTAAGGTAGAGGCCGGCTTTGGATCTGTGTTGAAAACGGAAGCCGTCAGAGAATACAACGCTTGCCGTGCTTTCATTTGCGCACTCTATGTCAATAAAATTGCTAGCCAGATATTTTGAACCGAGCTGGTAATAATTTGAAATGAATGTATTTAGGGTTTAACCTTATTAATCACACGTAAATTAAATGCGTGATTACAAAGTTCATTAAATGCACGATGAAAAATCTCGTCCTATATGTAGTGGCATTACAGCTTATTCAATCTTCATTAAACTAAAAAAGCAGCAGAGTTTAATCACTTGAAATATACATTTCCATGATACGTTTCTAAACCCACTAATACACGATTTCCTATTGCTAAGACGATTAGTAACGAGGTTCCTGAACTTAACAGCATTAATTAACTCCAATGTTGTACATCGTATGCTGGTTTCCTATACTTCTAAAAGCATCTAAAGAAAAGATGTCGATACAGTGTCTTCGTGAAGCCATGTTGAACAGGGTCATGCGCCCATTAATTAATTACTCGTACGTACCAAATCTTATCTTTGACGTTTGTTGGTCAAGTGCGTAAGGAGTATCGTGCAAAATACTACTGTGCCTTCGCCTGCTTTCATGATCCCTCAGGTCTCTAAATTCAAGAGGTGATGCTTGACACAATGAAGCTTAATTTAGAAGATTCATCCCTGTATTATAGTGATTCAATGCACAACCTCAGATGATATCCATACCCTATCACCGTCCATTTTCTTAGCAAAGATTTATCACATTTTCGCCACAAGCTAATGATTTTCATCAAGAACCTTTTTATGGGAACAAAATAAAATGCCTATGCATCTCGTAATGAACATCAAAGTGGCTTTGAAAGAACTTTTCCCGTCTATAATAACTCTCCGCTTTGTTAAATTTGCTCTCAGTTTCGTTCCTCTGACTGATAGCTTATTGGCGATGCTTACATAGCAGTTTTCTGACAGTTTATGTTTCATAGCATTGGATTAAAACATACTTTTCTAAGGGTACTGATTACATAGTAATTTGAATTTTTAATAACTTGATTTGCAAAGCTGTTGTTAATTAATCGGGAATTCCCTTCACGAAAAAAACACTCAGTAACCATTTTGCATTTGCCATTAAATTTTAGTTCTTGGTAAACCTGGCGTCAGCCTTAGTCCGTTTCTCAAAGCCTGAAACGCTAAACAGCAGGCTGAATGTGTTGCAATCCTCAGCTGCTTTGCAAATAAAGAATTATCATTGCTCGTCGAAAGCTAAATGCTAGTCACTCTTATCTGATGTTCAGTTTCAATCTGCAACGGTTGCACGGCTGGACAGAAACCCTCTAAGCGATTAATCGTTTGCTCTTGCAAATGCTTGGCGAAAACTCTGTTCTTAACATTTAGTCGTAAATTTTAGAAAGCTGATTAAATGGTCGCTGATGGTTAGTACTCACGTCTGTCATCTGTCAAAGCAATCAGAAGAAATTTACAACAGTTTAGAATATGTGAACACATTAAAACAAAATTAACGCAGAACATGATTAGAAAGTTACATACATTAATGCAATAAGAGAACGTTACATTTTCAAAAATAAGCATGAAGAAAGAATACCAGTTAGATATGATAACAGGTAAAAATGTACGCGTGAATATCAGAAGAAAATGGCTCAGATAACAGTCTTTGTATTGAACTCGTCGCACAATTGATAATGCACCTAAATTGAGCGTTTTAAAAAAACGCCGCGAAGCACCACGTAGGAAATTGTTAAACGCAACAAACAGTCGACAAGAATGATACTTAACTAGGTCAATAGACACAATAGCAACTTGGGACAAGACCGACGGCATTGTAGCTGAAATTAATATGAGGAGGTCAGTGACTCACATGGAAAGTAGCTTGGCCTTAACGTGGAAATGCTAGGTTCGAGGCAATGAGTAAAATTCTCTCATTAGCTGCTAGTTTTCTTGAACAGTAAATCCATTCTATTTTATCTTAAATATGATCGAGCATATTTAGAGAAACTGACGCCGAATGCAGCGCTGATTTGACACATGTAGGTTGAAATCCACTGATATCTTAAAGTTTTTATTAACTAATAATTCGCTTGAAAAAAAATAATTTTTCTCGCTGTGCTTCAAAACAACTAGTCAAAAAAAAGAGCATCAAGTCAATGACCCACAAGTAGTGGAAACATAGTAATGTCGTGTGGCCTTGCACAAACTTGCAACGCTTACGGCCATGTTGTATGGTACATGTGTTTTATGACTGCAATGTGCTATAACATATCTGATAGCATACTACAAGTCAACACATGATGCAATCCGTAGATAAGTCAAATAAAAACTAACGGCCTACAACTGGAACGGCGAACCGTGGCTGCTTCATGTTTCCAAGGTTGCCTAGAGTTTTAAAGTAATACCAATCCCTTGATTGCTGGACGATATCGTTAACGGCCTGAAAGAATGGGATCAAAGATGCTGCAGCAACTAATGGATTGTCTCATCGCTCAGTTTCTCCTGTAAGAGATATCTATGCAAAGTGTCTAGGAAGGAATACGGAGAATTTTAGAGCAAAACGTTCTGAATGGGCAGCATGACCTTCATTCACGTTGCAGTACAATGAATCAGATCTTCATTCATCTACAAGTCCACAAATATGCTGGCATATTTATGCACTTGTAGATAAATGAAGATAAACATAAGACCTTAAACATAAGAGGTGCATGCCTCCTTCGCAAATGAATCAGTTTATAATACAATTGTGCAAGTTGTGATGAGTGTTGTAGTAAAATGGGGTAGGTGACCATTTATGAAGGCTTTAAATCATTATATGAATTCTCAGAGCTCTGTGTTCTGGATTAGTGACAGTAATTCGAAACATTGCATAGTGAGTGCTAGACTCCGTCGACGATGCGTGCCTCCTTTTATTTTTATAACTTTTACGGAGTAAATCAGCAGACGCAGCTTTAAAATTCAGAAAGTCGCTGATAGTAATAGGTGATTGAGGCATTATTGTTCATGACTGAGTCATCTGCTATTTAAGGAGAGTCCAGCCACACTTGTATCAAGCTAACTTCTTTCACGTTGAACCTCAACGTAAATTCGATATTTTCTTATCTGCATGAGATGCAAATAAAATCAAGATCAGCCTGATGACAAAATGCTACTCACATGGCTCTAAAGTGAGGAAGGTAAAAATGTTTGTTGTCCCGAGACAGTATTTTCAAGTATCGGCTGTCCAAACGTGACAGTACATACAAATCGATCGTGCGAACGCAGTACTGCGAGTCATAAACCGATTATTTCTTCTGATATGGAGAAAAGTGAACAGCGGTGTGGAGCACCTCTTATATTCAAATCTCTCTATGCTTCTACTTTCATCTATGACCATGACTATTAGACTTTAACTGAAAGTGTGCAACAGCAAATACGAGCGACGTAGGTAGTTTGCATCAAAGAGTTACTGGCGCGAATGATATATAAATGGTATGGAACATGATAAGCAGAACTGAAAGGAAGAAAACGAAACTTAGTCACAGTCGGATGGTCGCTCTTCCTTAACCCTCGTGATTGGGCTGTTTCGGAATCCTTCTTGTCATGAACTCGGGACTTATTGGATGTGAGTTCTACGCTCTACCAACTGAACCATCCAAGTCTGTTGAAAACTCGCCTGTAAACAGTTTCCTCCCTCAGTCGAGACAGAATCGAACACGTAATCACGAAGCCAGACTGAAAGATTTCGAGATTGGCTCTGTTTGAGTGATTTGATTGGTGGCTAAATGCAGACCTAGAGATACAGAGCTAATTTTGCCATAGATTTCAATCCACTGAGCCAGCTTTTGAATCCAAAAAATTATCAGACAATGAAAAATCTCATGTTCTTATCAATCTCTGCAAGTGATTGTGCTTGAAGGGATAAAATTTCTTGCAAGTATTGAATTTAATCAGAATTTATTCATATTGCGTATGTATTCATATTTGCATATATAGTTAATCGAAAAAAATGAACGTTTTTTTTCGAAGGCAAATACTTCCTTTCTGCTGAGATTTCGATCGTACATTCACTTTATGTTTAGATTTCACGTACCTTTGTTATATTCAATACCTATTCCTGATGTCCTTTGTTCATCAGTGGAATACTCCAACATCCATCGTCCCACCTATGCGAGAGAGCCATTTTCTTAGATGAAAGCAAGAGTTTCGAAGAAAATGCACATTTTCGATGAGCAAAGACGCTTGAAAGCTACAACGTTGCCGGTCCCAAGGCCGAATGAGAAAGAAGGAGGGGTGGAGACGGTGACAAGTCTCCGTAAAATGTAGCCACCTACCACTCATGGTACTGACGCCATCGAAAATTATGCCGGCTCGGTCGTCGCCCTGGTTACCAAGGCCGCGCAGGCTGTTGGGCGACTGAGGCAGACTGCGAAAAGTCGGCGATCAGAACCTGCTCATTGCCCACTGAGAGCCGGGAGCGTGGCAGCACAACGACGGCTGACGAAGACCGACTCAACGACGACGAAGATACCAGTCAGCAACGGAGT